CCCCCCCCCCTCCCCGCGGGCCTACAGCGCCCCCTGCCGGCCGCCCGCCCCGTTCCCCTCTCCCCTCTGATTGGCCCCCCGCTCCCAGCCAATCAGCGCCGAGACTCCGACCCCGGGGGCCGGTCCCAGACCGGCGCCGCAGCCAATCGCAACGCAGCGAAAGCGGCCCCGCCTCCCGAGCCGGAACGGAACGCCTCTCGGCCAATCAGCGCGCGGGCCGCGAGGCGATGGGCGGGCACAGAGGGGGCGGTTCCGCCAATGGGCGCGGCGTGCGGCGCCGAGGGGGCGGGGCCGGCCCCGGGGGGCGGGGCCGCGGCTTCCAGAGAGTTCGGAGACGGCGGCGGAGCGGCGGTGGCGGTGAGTGGGGGGAGGGCGACCCCGGGACCCCCCATCCCCCCCGGGACCCCCCGATCCCACCCCCGGGGCCTCCACGGCGACCGCCCGGCCCCGCCCTGGCCGTGTCAGCGGCGGCCGCGGTGTCAGCGGCTCGCCGGGATACCCGGGAGGGGGAATCCGGGGTGACCCCCCGTCCCCCCAAAGTGCGCACCGGGTGGGGGTCTGCCCCCCTCCCTCCTTCTCGGTGTGGGGCGTGGGTGTCATCGTGACTGGGGAGTGGGGTGTCACCGTTTCACCCCCCGACACCCCCCGCCGCACGACCCCCGGCGGGAGGGGCCGCCAGACCGGGGGGATCCCGTGTTGGACCCGGCGGGTCGGGCCCATCCCTGGGGGGTCCCACACCCAGCCCAGGGGGTCCCTCATCCCGACCCCGACGGTCCCGGGGGACGGACCCAGCCCCGTGGATCCCCACCCCGGTCACGGAGGCGGGGGGAGACCCAGCCCGGTGTCGGTGCCGTTTATTTACCCGTGAGCGGGTCACGGGCGCTTCTCCCCGTCCCCCCCCCACCCCGTGTCGCAAGATAAACACGTCCCCGCCCCACGCGGGGCTTATCGGCGGTGGCACATGGGTCGGGATGGGGGACACGCACATACACACACACGGGGCACCCCCCGACACCGGCCTCGGGGTCCACAACTCCTAACGGGACCCCCGGCGGGGTCTGGCTGCCCCCGCGCCCGGGGAGGGGGATGTCACCCCCTCCAGACACCCCCTGACACCCCCCGACCCGCGGGATGCTGATGTGGGGAGGGGGAAACTGAGGCAGGGCCGTGCAGGGAGGGGAATGAGGATCAAAGTTTTTGGGGGAGTCCTCACGGTGGGAATGGGCTTCGGGGCGTCCCCCTGGGGTGGGGACCGGCCTTGGGGTCCGCCCCTCCTTACAGGACCCCCGTGCTGGGTCTGGCTGTCACCTGACTGTCACCTGGCTGTCACCCCCTGCCCCATGGAATGCCTGGGGAGGGGGGGAACTGAGACGGGGCCGTGCAGGGAGGAGAATGGGGCTCAAAGCATTGTGAGGGAGGGTGTCCTGGGCAGGGGCAGGGATCCTGCGCTGGACAAGGGTCTTAGGCAGGGTCAGGGTGTCCCGGGCTGGGCAGGGGGTCCTGGGCAGGGTCAAGGTGTCCCAGGTGAGGCAGAGGGTCTCGGGCCGGGCAGAGGGTCCCAGGCTGGGCAGGGGGTCCCGTGCTCATGGCTCTGTCCCGTCCCAGCACGTCAAGGCGAGGAAGATGGTGAAGGAGACGGGCTACTATGACCTGCTGGGCGTGCGGCCGGGCGCCAGCCTGGACGAGATCAAGCGGGCGTACCGGCGCCTGGCACTGCGCTACCACCCCGACAAGAACCCCAGCGAGGGCGAGCGGGTACGTGCAGCCCCCCCGGCGCCCCCCGGCCCGCCCCCCTCGGCCTCACCCGCCTCTCCCCCTCCCCAGTTCAAGCAGATCTCCCAGGCCTACGAGGTGCTGTCGGACGCCCACAAACGGGCGCTGTACGACCGCGGCGGCGAGAGGGCCATGAAGGAGGGAGGCCTGGGCAGCCGCGGGGGCGGCGGCGGCTTCGGTTCCCCCATGGACATCTTCGACCTGTTCTTCGGAGGGGGAGTGAGGATGCGCAGCCGGGCGGACAGGAGAGGTACGGGGACAAGGAGCTGCGGGGACAAGGACTGAGGGGGCTGGTGCTGGTGGGGGATCAATGAGCTACTGGGACCCCAGGGTGGGAGGGGGCTGATGCCAGCGTGGTGCTGGCTCAGAGTGTGACAGACCCAATGGGACCCAGGGATGGGAGGGGGCTGGTGCCCAGCACGGCACTGCCTTGCGGGATGAAGGTCCTGCCAGAACCCCTGGGTTGAGAGGGGCCTGGTACCCAACGTGGTGCTGGGTGGGGGATGAAGGACCTGATAGAACTCCAGGGTGGGAGGGGGTGCCCAGCACCGCACTGGATGGGGGATGAAGAACCTGGTGGGACTCTGGGGTGGGAGGGGGCTGGTGCCCAGCGTGGTGTTGGGGGATGAAGGACCTGACGGAACCCTGGGGTGGGAGGGGGCTGACACCCAGGTACAGTGTGACGGTGGCTTGGGGGCTGACAGACCTGCTGGGACTCCCAGTTAGCACCCAGCACAGTGCTGGCTCAGGGTGTGACAGACCCCACGGGACCCTGGAGTGGGAGTCCCAGCACAGCACTGGGTGGGGGATGAAGAACCTGACAGGACCCTGGGGTGGGAGGGGACCGGTGCCCAGGCACAGTGTGACACTGGCTCAGGGGGTGACAGCCCTGCTGGGACCCCCAGTGTGGGAGAGGGCTGGCACCCAGCACAGCACTGGGTGAGGCACAAAGCACCTGACAGGACCCTGGGGTGGGAGGGGGCTGGTGCTGGCTCAGGGGGCGTGAGGACCCCACAGGGATCCCTGGGCCGTCTCCCACCCCGCGGCGCGCAGCCAGACGCGGCTCCTCATCACCCTCATTACTTTCTCCACCTGCCCCCTCTTCAAAGGGCCCTTCCCTGTCCCTGTCCTGGCTTTCCCCCGCCATCCCCGGGGCTGGGGCTGAGTCACTGGCAGGGCCCCGGGGGCGGCAGCAGGACGCGGGGCGTGCGGGGCCGCCCCGGTGACTGTCCGGATGCCTTGGGCCTGGGTCACGGGGACAGGGCGACTCTCCAGGGCGCTTCTTGCTGAGGTGGCACGACTTAATGGAAGGGCAATTAGGAGGCCAAGGGAAGCGTCCTGGCAGCTCCGGCTGGAGCAGCTGCAGGGTGGCTGAGCGCCCTGGGGTGGGAGCCGTGCCCGGCCCACGCTGGGGATCCGGCACTGCCCCAGGGCGGCCGGCAGGATCCGGGCTTGGAGACGCCCAACCTTGAGTAAAGCTGTAAAGCTGTCAGCGTCCCTGTCACCATTCCTGAGAAAGGAACCCCTGTCACCATTCCTGAGAAAGGAGCGGGACTGGCTCTGGGAGGACCTGGGTGATGCTGAGCGGCCGTGGCACGGGGGGTGGCACGAGGCTGGTGCTGAGCTGGGTGCTGAGCCGGGCTCTCCCCTCCACCCAGGGAAGACAGTGGTGCACCAGCTCTCGGTGTCGCTGGAGGACTTGTACAACGGCTCCACACGGAAACTCTCCCTGCAGAAGAACATCATCTGCCGCAAGTGCGGAGGTGAGCGAGGGGCTGCAGGGCCCCAGGACCCCCCGCCCCTCCAGCTGACCCCTGCCCCCCTCAACAAGGGGCTGGGGGCCATCCCAGCACCCCCCACCCCTTGGTCTGACCCCCTGCCCCCCTCGGCACAGGCTGCGGGGTCCGGGAGGGCGCCCAGAGGAGGTGCCCCAAGTGCCACGGCTCGGGGATGGAGGTTCGCATCCACCAGCTGGGGCCCAGCATGATCCAGCAGATCCAGACCGTGTGTTCCCAGTGCCAGGGCCAGGGCGAGTGGATCCGCCCGCGGGACTGCTGCCTCACCTGCAACGGCCGCAAGGTCGTGCGGGAGAAGAAGATCCTCAGCGTCCACCTGGATAAAGGTGAGACGGGGCCGTGCGGGGAGTGGGGTCACCCCAGAGCTGCCCCCGTGCCTTGACCCGTCTCCACGTTCCCCGCAGGAATGAAGGACGGGCAGAAAATCACCTTCCATGAGGAAGGGGACCAGGTGCCCGGCTTGGAGCCCGGGGACATCATCATCGTCCTGGACCAGAAGGAACACCCCGTTTTCCGGCGCAGCGGCGACGACCTGATCATCAGGAGGGAGATCAGCCTGGCAGACGCCCTGTGCGGGTGCCGGCAGGTGATCCGCACCCTGGACAACCGCACCCTGCTCGTCTCCTCCCCGCCAGGTGAGGGAGGGGGGCTCGGCAGAGCTGGGGGAGGCCAGGAGCTGCCGGTGCAGCGGGATGACCCTCACCTCTGCCACAGGTGATGTGATCCGGCCTGGGGACCTGAAGTGTATCCCCAACGAGGGGATGCCCGTCTACAGGAGCCCGTTTCAGAAGGGAAAGCTCATCCTGCAGTTCGAGGTGAGCCGGAAGCCGGGTGGGAGTTGGCATCTCCCAACCTCTGGGCTTTCCTGCGTTGCCACCCCACACCTCACATCCCCCTCTCCATCCCCAGGTGAAGTTCCCCGAGCCAGGCTGGCTCCCCGCCGACCGCCTGCGCCAGCTCCAGGCCTTCTTCCCGCCGCAGGAGGAGGTGATGGCCACGGAGGACACGGAGGAGGTGGAGCTCAGCGACTACACGGCGCACGGGGGGCCCGGCCGGCGGCCCTACACCGGCGAGGCCTATCACGAGGACGACTTCGAGGACGGGATGCGCCAGCACGTCCAGTGCCAGACCTCATAGCGCGGGTGGGGCGCGGCCCCCCGGGCACAGCCGGGGCAGGGGAGGGGACTCACGGAGCCGCCACGTTCAGGGATGTACATAGGTCGCCTTTCCGACAGCACTTCACCTCCCTGGCCCCCCCCCCGGGAGCCGGGCGGGAGCCTCCCGACCCTGCCAGGGCGAGGCCCCCCTGCCCTGCCCTCCCCTCAGCCCGGGGCTGGTGGAGCTGCCGCTGCCCACGGGTGGGGGATTGGGGGGTTTGAGGCTGGATCCAGCTGCCAGCAGCCCCATGGATGGGGGGGCTTGGGGCTGCAGGCACATCCCACGCTGGAAAAGGTCAGCCCTGGCCTGGAGAAGAGGAGGAGGAGGAGGGGGGTGCTTCTTGCCCCTTGCCTCAGTGTCCCCGTCTGCTCCAGTGGGGCCAAGCTTATGCTGGAGCCAGTGTGGGGAGGAGGGGAACTGCCCAGCCCCCCCAGAGACCCCCTCGGGGTCCCTGCCACTGCCCCATGGCCCCATCCGGCCCCACACCGTGGAGGGGCTGCTGCCCAGGCCCCCCCCCCGGCCCCTTGCTTTGCCCATTTCTTTTCTTGCTGGAGCCTGGCTCAGGCCCTGGGGCGCAGAGGGGGTGGCTCTTTTCTCTTTGCACAGGACAGGAGGGGGTGGTGGGGACCCGTCCCTTCCCTTTAATTTATTTTTGAAAGAATTTTAGAAGTTTTTCCTTTTTTTTTTGTTTTTGGGGGGGGGGGGGGGGGGACTTTGTACTTGGCATTAAACACGAATCCCAACTCGGCGTGTGGGGCAGAGTGTGGGGCAGCGGGAGCCTGGGGGTGGTGACTCTGCCCTGCTTTGGTCTTGGGTGTGCCTCAGTTTCCCCATCCTTACACAACAGGGTGGTTCCCTGTCCTGCCCCACCCCCGGGGGCTGCTCTGGGCTCCTCCTGCCTCGGGGAGGGGTCTGTCCCCCTTCCTGTCCCGCCCAGGCCCTCCTACCCCCCCACCTCACCAGCCCTGCACCTCTACCCTCTCCCCCCCAGGCCCCTTATCCCCTGTCCCAAAACATTCCTGGTTCTTTGCATCCGCCCCCAGCCCCTCATCCTGCCCTGTCACCGCCCCCAGAGCTCCTTCTTCCATCCCCAGACCCCCCACCCCCTTGTTATCCCTGCAGACCCTCTGCATCATCTCAGCATCCCTGGAGCCCCCACGATGGAGGAAACCCCCCCCCAAATAGACTCAGCCCGTCCCCTTTTCAGCCCTGCACTCACCCCATGGCAGGTTCCAGCCGTGCCATGGGGCAGAGCTGGGCTACAGAGCAGTTATGGGGACACCCCTCCAAAAAAAAACCCCACTGGGGGCCAAGATGCAGCCCACATCTCCCCCATCCTCCTCCACGTGGAGCTGCCAAGACTCCTCATCACAGTGGAAGAGGAGCAAAGCCCCCCAGCCCCCTGCCCAGGGGAGCCGTGACCAGGATTGGGGGGGTCTGGAGACCCCCCCACCGCTGGAGCCCAGGAAAGCTCCGGCGCCAGATGCAGCTGGAGGGGGAGAGGAGGAGGAGGAGGAGGAGGAGGAGGAGGAGGAGGAGGAGGAGGAGGCGAGAACAATGCTGGCCGGCCGCCAGCCGAGGGGAGCGGGGCGGGGGGCTCCTGCACAGCCCCCAACCCCGGCGGGCGCAGGGAGGGGGTGAACCCGCGTAGGAGGTGACTGTCACCCCCCCCCCCCGGGCCGGCTGCCCCCCCCCCCCCCCCCCAGGGCTGACGATGCCTTGCTGAGCGGTGCCAGCGTCCTGAGCTGCCCCGAGCCGTGGGGACACCCCCGAGGGCAGGGTCACCTCCTGCCAGGCCGAGTGCAAGGCGCTGCTCCCCCCTCCCAGGGACAGAGGCCCCCGTGCCATGTGCCGGAGCCCAGCCCAGCGTGTGGCCTGGTGGCTGCAGCACCCCAGCCCTGCCCGGCGTGGGCCCCCCAAAGTTCCCCCAAGTGACACTGATATCCCCATCACCCACCCAGAGACCCCCTCTCCAGGAGCTGAGGGGGGGCTGAGGGGCCAAGACCCCCCCCAAGCCTGGCACCTCCCTGTCCCCGGCTCGTCAGTCAGAGTGGGTACCCAGGGCAGGGGGGCTGGCACACAGCTGGGACCCCCCGGGACCATCCAGGGTGGGCTCCAGCCTGGGCAGCAGCCGGCCCAGAGGATGTGGGGATTGTCGGGGGGTTACACCGGCTCCGGGGGGGGGGGGGCCCGGCCGGGCGGGGGGCTTTTCTTGTCCCTTTCCTGCGCCGTGGGGCTGGGGGGGCGTGGGGGGCGTTGTTCCTCCAGCTGAACCCTGCTCCTCCATCCCCCACCCCTCAGCATCCCGGCCCAGAGGAGGGGGATGTCCCCCCCCAAACCTGCCCGACAAGTCCTGTCCCCCTGCCCGGGCAGGGAGGGGCGGGAGCCAGCGCATCCCCCGCTTCGGGCGGATCGAAGCCCCCCCCCTCCGCTCCCTCTTGAGGGCTCCGGCACGGGGCGGAGGGGGGATGAAATGCTCTTCCCTCACACCCGGCCCAGCCTCTGCTTCCAGAGAACGCATGGAAAAATTCCGGGGTGAGGGGCCAGGGCCCCCCAGGGTCGGGCATTCATTCCCTGAGCACAGAGCGGGGAGGGGGCCGGGCCCCGCTTTGTCTCCGGAGATGAAAGGCGAGGGGCCAGCCCGGCCCCCTCCCCAGCCCGGGGGGGCAGCGGGGCCGCCCGGGGGCCAGCGGGGTCACAGGGGAGGATTAGTGCCGGATTAGAGGCGCCGGGGGCACCGACACCACCCACGCCGTGCCATGGGAGGGGAGGCACAGCCCCCCGAGCGGTTTTTGGGGTCACTCGCGGCCCCTCCATCCCGGCCCCCAGCCCAGCCTCGCTCGGAGGAATTTGCTTTTGTTTCGGGAGCAGCCGCCGAACAACCCCCCCGAGCCTCGGCCGTGCTGCGGGGAGGGGGCACCTCCACCCACCGCCCCCCCAGCACCCGGGAGCAGGATGGGACCCCCAGGCCGCTGTATGGGGGAGTGCAGGCAGCCAGACAACCCTCCCCATCCAGACGTGCCGCCCCAGCTCTCGGGGTCCCAGAGCCCCCCCATACTCCCCCCAGCCGGAGGCAAACCGGAGCCGTCCCCAGGGCAGCGGGGGAAAGCGGATATTCCTCCAACCGGGGGAAAGCCGTCGGAGCCGGCTGGTTTCCATTACCGGCTGCTCCTGCCCGGCCGTGGCTTTCCCGGGGTCTCCAGGGGGAGCAGCGGCCGGTTGGATGGAGGTGGGGTCGGGGGGGGTCGGCGAGTCCTGCGCCCACCCCCGGGGACAGCGCGGGGACAGTCGGGAGAGCCGGGACGCGGCCCTGGCAGCACTTTGGGAATGGCGGCGGGGGCGATGGGCGCCTGCCAAGTGTCCACCTGGAGATACCAGAGCCTTCCTCCCCCTCCTCCTCCTCCTCCTCCTCCCCAGGGAAGGTGTAATTCCACCCTTCCCGCTGCTGGACGCGCTCCCGGGGGGAGCAGCATCACACCCCGGGCGTGGGGGTGAAGCCAACCCCGAGTCCTGGCACCTTCCCCTGCGTTCACCCCTCAGGGCCCCCCATCACCCCAAAGGCTCAGCGGGACCCCGGTGCTGATGGGGGAAGTGGGGCAGTGCCCCCCACCTTCCCCACGGTGGTTCGGGGGCTGCCGTGGCTGAGGGGTCCTGGCCCACCCTGGGCGAGGCCGGGCTGTGCTGGGTTTGGGGGGGGTTCTGCACCTCAAACTCCTGGGCAGGGCCCCCCTGCACCCCGACCCTCCCTGCACTGCCCCAGCTTAGCCCTGAGGGCAGAGGCAGCCCGAGCCCCCCCATCCTGGGGTAATTAATGTCACCCCACACAGAGCAATTAGCGGGCAGCACCTAACGAGATTCCCCGGGAAACCCCTGGAGCCGCATCCCGGCGGGCAGCACCCACAGGTACCCTGGATCCTGCGGCTGAGCCGGGGCGGGGTCTCTCCTGCCCCCCCTCGTGCTGGTGCTGAGGCAGAGTCCAACCCCCCATCCCCACGCTGCCCCACAGTCACCCCACGGTCACCACCCGCTTCCCACGCCAGGATGTGCCAACCCGGCCACCGCCTTCGCCCCCGGCCCCTTGCGCAACGGCCGGGGAGCAGATCCAGGGTGTGGGATCCGGGATGTGGGATTCGGGGTGTGGGATCCGGGATGTGGGAT